TATTTATTTAGTCTTATTGCTATATTTATTAATATATTACTTATATATATTAATCAGTTACTAGACTTCGAGGATTATCTCTGATCTTTGTTCATCTTCTAGGATTACTTCTGATCTTTCTTGGAAACCATATATCTAATCTGTTGCAAAATTAGCATCTGCTAAAGTTGCTTCTCTCAAATCCGGCCTTGTATGGAATACTGTTGCCATATCTGGGGCGGAACTTCTAATGATGCCCTTTCTCTTTTAGACAAGGTGCAAAAACGCATTGTAAACATAGTTGGACCTGCTCTTGCAGCCAACCTTCAACCTCTGTCACATCGTCGTAATGTTGCTTCTCTTTCTCTTTTCTACAAATACTACAATGGGCACTGCTCTAAAGAGCTAGCGTCTCTTGTGCCATCTTCTAAAATTCATTCTCGTTTTACTCGTCATTCAATTAAGTCTCATCCTTTTTCTGTTACTGTTCCTAAGTGCTCCAAAAACTCTTACTTGTCTAGTTTTTTTCCTCGAACATCAGCTCTTTGGAATTCGCTTCCTTCATCTTGCTTTCCTGATTCATATAATTTGCAATCTTTTAAGTCGTCTGTCAATCGTTATCTTGCTCTACAATCTTCATCTTTTCTCTTCCAGTAACTTCCAACACCAATTAGTGGTTGCATGCAGCCTTGTTGGAAGCAAAGTTGTTTAAAAAAAAAAAACACAGCAAAATATATGACTATTTTTCTGCTCAGTAGTTTTTTTTAGTTTTCTTGATCCTGCATGACATCGAATGCCACCTATTGTTTTAAATGTCTTTATCAGATGCAATTCTCTAAAATTTTAAATTTCTTGCTTTTTCTCTATTACTGATAATTGAGCTTCATACCTATTATTTGCCACTAAATAAATAAATATATATATATATATATACATATATATATATATATATATATATATATATATATATATACATATATTTATATATATATATATATATATATATATATATATATATATATATATATATATATATATATATATATATATATATATATATATATATATATATATATATAAAATTTTATATCATAATAATAAAAAATTAATAAAATAAAATTTTATATGCCAAATGAAAAAGAAAAAATATTATCTAAGTGGCAACATTCGAACAAATTTCTGCTGTCTTATTTGATAAACTAAACCGGAAACTAAATGGTTACATCTTTTATTACGCCAGAATTAATTTTTATCAAATATGCATATATATAAATATATATATGCATACTTGTGTACATGTCTGTATGCATTTGAATATATGCAGCATTAGACACAAAATGTGTGAAATGATGTTGCTTTTTAAGTAAATATTTAAATTATCTTCAAATGATAAAAATTTTGTTTCACAGTTTGACATCTAATCTTTAGATATTTTGCTTTTAGGATTATATAGATGATAATGGAGCCAAGTCAATCAGCCTTATTCATTCTTCTGTTAAAACTCATGGGAAAAAAAATGTTCGAGAAAAAACTGGTTAGAATTATATACGCATAAAAAATACCTAATATCTTTAGCATTTTAGTATATTTTGAATATTTTTATAGGAAACCAAAAAGTATTAGAAAAACATCCACCAACTTCTCAACTTACTGCAAATAATTGTGCGAAATCATCAATGCCTATTGAGTTTGATCTTATTGATAGTAAAGACTATGAAGATCCTGATGATCATGAAATTGATGGATCTCCCACAATTCATACATCTGTTCTAATTGAGAGATCAAAAAGTGATGGAAGAGACTATACATCCTCAAGTATGAGAAGCTCTCAGAATTTTGATGTATTTCCAACAAAACGTAAAAATCGTAAGCCTGCAAACCGGCATAAGTCTTGCGAAATTGACTATAAAAGTGAATTAAATGAATCAGAAAATAGTTCAACAGTTTCACCACGCAAAATATCTACTACTAGAAAAAAAAACCAGACAAGTGTATTTAAAGAACATTTAGTTGATGGAAAGTTCGGAGTTGAGCCAGGTAAGTTAATTTCACAGAATTATTTATAAATTTAGTAATAAATCGTCAAAGTTATACTTTATCCATTAGTTTTTTCTAATTAGGTTATGCAATTTTTAGTTTTTCTATAAATCTAGAAGGAGATGGGTGTGGTTTTTCACTTATTAACTTTGATGGAAAAATATGGGAATTTGAATGTAATTCAACAGAGGTATTAGTTATGGTTATTATTTTGCTTGTTGAAGTTTTTTATGAAACTTTTAGCATAAATCCTACAAAATTATTTGTTTGTATAAGAACTATAAAAGTTTGCTTATAAATTTTCTGATAATCTTTGAATTACAATGATAAGTTAATGAAATGATGAATTACACGTTTTAATTATGAGTTACAAGTTTTATTATTTTATTAATCTTTCAATTAAAAAAGCATAAAAAAAGTTTGATATATATTTTTACATAATAAAAATTTTCATATACAACAGTCACTGAAATAACTAAAATTTGTCACCATTTTGATTGTATTTTTAATTGTAATTTTTAATTGTAATTTTGGAACAAAAAAGTAAATAGAAGCTCAATTATTAGTAATTAATTTAAATGTTAATGTCACAACTGCTTTTCAATATCTACTATGATCCTTTCTTATTGTTTGAAATGTTTTACCTAGTTAAAAATGTCTACTACAATCTTTTCTAATTGTTTCAAATAGTAAGTTTGAGTAATTATCAAGTAAAAAAAAATTTAAATTAATTATATTTAGAGCAAAGTTCGTGTGTTTAAATAAGGAAATGAACAAAATCAAAAATTTAGCGCCACGTTTGCTTTTTAATTCAACTATGAATACATTGGAATATTTTAGATTTAAATTTTTTTTAGACATAAAAAATATCCTTTGCATATTTAGAAGTTAGACTTTTAAATCGTGTAATTTGTGACTGTGTAATGATATTTTGCAAAGAAATCAAAGAGAGCAATATGGTGGCTTTTCATAAATTGCAAAGATGTTTACCATTTTTTATATTGGTTCAAACCCTATACAAAAAAAATCAATGCCTCTGGAAAAAAAGGTTTTAGTTTCAAATCAGTTTGGTTGCAATTGCAGATTTTAAGTATTCTTGCGTGTTGGAACTTTATTTTTTAGCCCAAACTCATCATAACTGTTAATTTGAATTTTATTCCTGTTTAAAAATTTCAGAAAAAAGTTTCAATGAAAAGCATGAGTAGTTTCAACATTTTTCTAGTGTTTTATTTTTTAAATGAGAAGCATAAGTGATTTTAACATTTTTCATTTTTTCGAGTTGTTTCTTCAACAGACGGTAACATTTATTTATTGTCATATGTAACATTTTCAAGTCTCTGTTTAAGCAGAATGTCTTACATCAAACTTAAATCATGACAGGCAGAATATGGCTCACTCCAAGTTGTTTATGATAAACGAATGAACAACCATCAAGATAAGTGGAAACTGTTTCAGCATTGTTTTTCATTGCTTTTTTTTTATCTTTTTATAAAAAGATAAAATGAAAAAACAATGAAAAAAAATTGAGCATGCTGTGGAGTATTTTTCACTACCGATGTCAAAGATTTGATGTAAAACACACATTGTGGTATAAAATTGTGTATCATTAACTGTAAGTTGACAAAAATTATTTCAAAAAAGACCTGTTAAGCATCGTCCTCATCCTCAAGCATTACCACAGCACCATTACTGTATGAAAAAAAGCTTCTTAAATTTCTCATCAGAAAAGCAGTGACAAAATGGTTTAATCTCAGAAAGTTGTAGCACAAAGGCTACTTTTGTTTATACAATACCCTGTTCTTGTTTGAGTCATCTGCATAAAGTTCTAAATATAAATCAGGACCTCATCAGTTTTTCACTGAGTTGGTACATTGAGACACACAAGCCCTAAAACTGCTCTATTCTTATTTGTCTAAGATTATCTAGAAGTATTTATTGTTGCTTTCTAGTACTGATCTTGACTTAGAGGCATTTAGTCATAATCAAACAGATGGTAGTTTTGCACCATTGTTTTTAGAAAACAATATAGTTTAAATTGAATCAATGGCGAATTAAGTCAAGATTTTATTAATAAAAGTTTTTTCAAAATATTCTGAATATTCAGGTAGGGGAGATTAAGGCACCATGATACATGGAGCTCTATGAAACATTGTAACTGTAAAGGCATCTTAAGAGTTGTGATAACTACTTTTCATGGTGAAAGTTACTAATAGAGATATTTTTTGACAAAAAAAAAAAATTGTATCATTTGATATCATTAGACCTGTGAGGGGTCAAATTTTGTGTTTTTTTTTTTTATGACAAAGTATTTAATTAGTTTTTAAATTTGGTAAATTTTAAAGTATGATATTCAATGTTTCTATCGGTATGTAACATTGTAATGTATGTAACTATGATCAATGAGCTCTTTACTTCATAAAACAAAACGATTAAAAAAACTTGATAAAAAAAATAAATTTAAAAATAAAAATAAAGCTATTTTTTTCTATTAGCAAGTATGGCGTAATTTGATGCAGTATTATATTTGTGCAGTAATTTGATGCAGTATTTGTGGGGGACCATAAAACTGTAGAATAGTACTTCATTGTGTTATCAACGATTCTAATTATTTCTTTGAATATTTAGTCAGTTTTCAAGAGATTTGTGTAAATATAATAATAAAAGATCCAATTTTAATACAAAGACATTATTTATTGGCACTTAAGAATGACATATAAAGCGATATGTAATCTGAATTTCTAAAATGTTTGGACCATTGAATACATTATTTGGGTTATAATTAGTAATTTGTTTGTCTTTCAAGTAAAAATCTGCCTTTCCTCTAAGTTTTATACTTTGTATTCACTTTTTTAATGATCCTCATAGTACCAAGGTACTCCTAGTGTACCTTAATACAAATTTCTAATTTTACTTTAAATAGTCTCACAAGTTTAACTTGTTATATGTTGGTAATTAAAAAATTTAATTTTTTAGGTATAAATCTGTTTTACAAATTAAACCAATTGCCTATAAAAAAACGTATTGAAAAAATTGTTATGAAGCAAAAACCAAAAGTGTATCATGGTGTCCTACTCTTCCCTACTTATTATGAAAAAACAATGTTTTTAAAATCATTCTTCAATCATACATTTTTTCTTGATTTCTTTAGATCAATGTTTTTTCATTTTTTTGTTTTTGTTTGTTTGTTTCTTGTTTTTTTTGTTGAGGTTTCTTAGATAAAAGTATTTTAATTTTGCAGTTGATAATAGTTTTTTAATTTAGTCGTTCTAAATTTTATATCATAAAAAGTATAATATAACTTCTAATATCTCTATAATATAACTTCTAATATCTCTAGAATAGATTGAGTAAACAGAATTTTTAAAAATCTAAATAAAAATTCAGGGGGTTTAAAATTGATACACTAGTTGTGTAATAATTTTAAATAATAAGATAAATGTAGTAAGTTAATCCAACTCGAAACTGTAGTTGACTGCCAAGTAATTTATCATGATATATGGGTATATATTTAATTTTTATTCATAGCCTCAAAGTCATCATTTTTTAATTTTTTATGTCCAGTTAAATCGTTTTAATTGTTTTTAAATTTTAAATTTTTAGTAAAATAAACTGATTAGTTTTTTTATGTATTGAAACAATTACAGTTTTAATAGATTTTTTTAATACAAAGTTGCTCTAATACATTCAACATCTGTTGCAGGAGAGAGACAGTTGGGTTCATCATATTGAAAATGAAATTCTTAATGCTTTTCAAGATCAAACATTTCAGAGCGAAAGATCACAGAGTGTAGGTAGTTTACAATTATTCTATAAATTTAAATATGTTAGAATTATTTATGAATAAGTGTATTCTTTATAGGCCATCGAGGAATTTGAAGTCATGCAAAAGCGGCTAACTTCTGTTGTTGGAAATAATTTTTGTGCTGACTGCAGTGCTCCAGGTGTGTGCATATATATATATATATATATATATATATATATATATATATATATATATATATATATATATATATATATATATATATATATACATATATGTATGTATGTATATATATTACTTTTGCTTTTTTATTGCATTTTTATGTTTTAGATCCTGTTTGGGCATCAATGAATTTAGGCATTCTAATTTGCATAGAATGTTCAGGTGTTCATAGAAATCTAGGCTCCCATCTATCTCGTGTTCGCTCTCTTTATTTAGATGAATGGCAGTAAGAGTTTTACAGAATGTCTGTTTGTTTATTGCTTTAATTTTTTTTTTATATCTATATTATATCTATAGGAATGAAACGCTTTCCATAATGCTGCTACTAGGTAATACTTATGCTAATAGCATATGGCAAAACAGATTGCAAGGAAAACCAATTACTCATCAATCAACTCGGTAAATTTAAATTTTTTTTTTTATTTATTTTTTCAACAGTTCAAAAAAAAGGTTTTTTTTTTTACATTATTCAAAAAGAAATGGCATTTAAAGAAAAATAAAAAGTAACTTTTTCTATTATAGTCTATGGTAATAAAAAATCATTTTTGTTTAGAGATGAAAGAGAAAAATGGATTACCGGAAAATACGAAAGAAAAGAAATGATTAAGCCATTGTCAATTGATGAAAATATGCTAACTGAGGTTGAATGCTTATTAAATTGTGTACTTTGTATTTTTTTTTAAACATCTATATATTTGTAGGTGCTGATCTCTTTAGGTTTTGTACATAAGAAAATGTTTCTTTAGGTATTGATAGGTTTTGTTCATAAGAAAATGCTTCTTTAGGTATTGATAGGTTTTGTACATAAAAAAATGTTTCTCGATTCCTACTTTATGCTGGTACATAGCACTAAGAATCAAGTAAACAAACTTTGCAAAGTAGAAGGCTACTCTCACAAAGTAGCACCACTGCATCTATCTTGCGCTAACTCTGATATTGCACTTACGCAACTTCTTTTATGGGTATGCCTTTTTTTTGTTTTGTTTTGTTATTGCTAGTTGTTGTTTGTTTTTTTTGAATTAATTTTTATACTTTAAAACCAATTTTATTTTGTTTCGCTTTACTAATTTAAAAACGAAAAGAAAAACTTTTAATTGATCACAAGGTTTTTTTTTTAATAAATCATATTTGCTATAACTTTTTTTTTTACTTTTTTCTTTTCTAGTATGGTGCTAATCCGAGGATTTTAGATGAGCTTGGGTATAATCCTTTATTTTATGCTCGCAAATCAGATGGCAAAATGTGTATCGATTTGTTACTTCAATATGGATGTTCTTATGATACCACGCGGTAATAATAATGTCATAAAAATACATTTTCCTAAAAAGTTGCACTTTTTAAAACCCCAAATAAACACACAAAAATCATTTTTTGAAAGAAAGATGTTCGTATAATACTGTGATGCAATTATTCTTTGCTTTGAATGTTTTCAAGTTTATGGATGAAAGTTTATTTTATTTATCTGGTGTACCATAGAGAAAAATATATTATACGGTTTTAAATGAGATTTTATTTGTACAAAGTAATAATTTACTCTGTTTTATATTTATATAAATATACACATCAATATATACAAATAATTTTAATGAGTTGCGAGTTTCATACAACTTTTAAATTTTATGTCCAGTATAGGGTTGTTCGCCGAAAAACAAAACTTCCGAAAATTTCGCATTTTTATCTTCCGTAATAGAATTGTTATTGCGGAAGTTGCACATGCGAAAATGCACATTCCGTAACGCTCTATACGAAAATATAAATAAATAAAATTCCGTAATAACGCATTACGAAAGAAGACTTGCGAAACAAATCATTTCGTAAGAATACTTACGAAATAGTTCATTACGGAAGGAGCATTCCGGAATGTGCAGTTACGAAAAAGACGCAAAAGATTTTATGTTACGATATATTTAAGATATTAACTGTTAACAGTTTAAATAATAAATAATAAAATTATAAAATATATATATATATATATATTCATATATATATAAATATATACATATATATACAGTAAAATCCCGTTAAGTTGGACTCTCAATGAACAGATAAACAGTATGCCTTTCTTTTTAAAAAGTATAAAGAGGATGTGTGATAAACAATTAAATACTTTATTATAAAGAACGAGAGATCTCTCTAAAGGTAAATGATATCAGCAAAGAGTAAAAAGAGAAGAAATATATGTGAAACAGCGGGATGTGAACCTGGGTCTACGCGGCCAAATGTCTTAACTGAATGAGCTATACGTTCATTCAACTAAGTGAATAGTAATATTTATTTAATATACAATTAAGAAACTATATAAAACAGAATTTACAGAAAGAGATACGAATGCAAATAGGATTCTATATATCAGGAAAAGGAATAGTAATGTGAACCTTTAGATGCTTGTAATTAATATCTGGACTCAAAAACTATTTACTTTTAATGGAACACATTAGGCTGTAGGAGCCTCAGGGAAATTATATTCAGAAATGGTTATATTAGACTCAGAGTTAGCTAGAAATTATTACAAAATATTTAGGACAGATGTCTAGTACAAAAAGCAAAAGATTTAAAGCAAAATGATTTATATTATTTGAAAAAGTTGTTTTACGTACATTTCATCATAATTTAAGTAGAACTTAGTAAAGCAAGGGAAACGTGTTGAATTAAGCACAATGAACTCAATCTTAAAAGAATAACTAACAGAAGAGAGGTTGTCACTATTGTGAAGGTGACGAAAGATCTGTAATATAGAACATGGAGGTCAAAAAATGCTATCTTAAGTAAAAAGAGTTTGATGAACAAAAGTTACAATGGCTGCGGGATGCGAACCGGGATCTCTGCGGCGAATTATCACGTATCTAACTGATTGAACTAATCAATCTTATACTCAAATTTATATCTTATTAAAATTAAAAAACAATATTTTCTAAGATCTATACTTCGAAAAGCGTATTCAAACAGGACTCTACATACCTTTAAAATCTGCTAGAACTTTAGTAACGTGAACACTTTTAGAAATTATTGAAATAGGTATATTTTATCAGAAATATGCTTAAGCTAAAGCATATTTTTGAGCCTCTTTTTACTATTTGCTTAAGCATATTCGAACCTGTTTCAAAAATTTCATATGCTATTAAAAAAAAAACATGTATATTCCTTCCCATCATTCTTATTTTTAATATACGTAATGAGTTCAAAAAACATCGTTGTATATATTTATTATGGCACGTTTCGTAAGTTGATTTCCGTTAAGAATTCTTTCGTATGTTGTGATCCGAAATACTTTCGTTTCGAAAGAAATTTTATTTTTTATTAATATTTCTAAAAATAAAACCATAAAAATTTAATAGTTATTATACTGAGTTATAAAAATTCATTATAAACATTTTGGGATTTAAAGATGTTAATTTTTACAATTAAAATCAGTCTGGCAAACAAATTTTCTTTATAGACTTCAAAACGTCGTTTGGCGAAAATGTTTGTTTCGCAAGTGCGACTTCCGAAACCGCTACTTTCGTATGTTGCAAAATAGTTTTGTTTCGTATGTCAACTTGCGAAATGCTAAATTTCGGAAGTGGCTTTTGCGAAATGAACATCGGCGATTTTAAATGTTTTGTAACATTCGGTACGAAAAAATGTAATTCCGCGTTCTCAATCTCCTTACGAAAGAATGTTGTTTTTCCGGAATTGCACGAAATCCTCCGGTTAACAACCCTAGTCCAGTAGAGAAAATACTGCGTTGCTTGATGTAGCATAATTACTTTGTTGGATTGCGTAGTGGAGCAGAATTGCTCATTTTGAAATCGAAAGTATATGAATTTTATTATGTACAAACGATCATTTTTATCGACTGATAAAATACTCAATAAAAAACTCAATAAGACTATATTTACCAAACAATCAAAACTAGTTATTAAAAATTTAGGAAGTTTTAAATGAATAATTATGATTTTTTTTTATGCAGAAGCCAAAAAAAAGGTTTTCTCTACTTTCTTTCACTTCTCAAATCTGCAAGCAATTGTCAAAGTTTGAAAATTTTAAAACCTCAAAAGAGTTGGTTAACTAAAACGTTCAGAATGTGCAAGGTAAGTATTGACCTCTTTTTTTAATAGTATTTCAAGGCAACAGTTTCAATAATTTTTTACGCAGGAGAGATTTTATTTATTGAAACTATCATACGTTTAGTAAAGAGTTAGGAATATAACAATCTGTAAAAAAAGATAACGACTCGCTGAAAAAATTAGGCTCCGTTACTTCGGTTCCAATTCCACCACGTACAAATGAAGTTAAATTCTCTTACTACATTTAGTTGTTTAGACTTTCGCTCTTATGCGTTTTAATTAGGAGAAATTGAGAAAAAAAAGGAAAATGAAAAAATAATGAATCAAATGTTTCTTGTGATGAGAAGAGGCATAATAATCCAGCAAACATTTTTGTATTTGATTTGCAGTGGACCTTTATACGTTTTGAGCGGTTCATTAGAGTTTTGATCATCGATTACTTAGTAAACTATTATTGGAATCCTCTAAAGGTGGCCAGCCGATAACTTTTTATGTGGTATAGAGGCTAGCCACTTTTTGCAGCTGGCACTAAATAACCGATGAGTGAAAGTACAGTGGACCGTTGAAAATGTCTATAAGGTCCAATGAAATTCTGCTATAAAATGTTTGCTGGTAAAGAAACTCTTGGGCTTATTTAACATGAAGAGCGGATAAATCATTTTAAATCAGGTATTTACAAAAAAATCAGGTATTTACAAAAAATTGAGTGGAACTTATTAGGTGTACAGTTTCTTTAAAAAAATTTATGATTATTTCATATGGTATATTTAGGTGAAATAAACATTTTTTTAACGAAATTTGAATAAACCTATTTAAGTATTTTCAATGGTTCACTGTAGTTTTGCTCATTGGTTAATTAGTGGACCATTACACGAGGAACAGGAAACTTTACATTGCTGATAAAAAAAAATTTCTCGAGATTTTTAATTGTATACCATGGCCCATCCTTACATACTAAAGTTATACCTCAAAATACATATTTACTAAATTGGATATTCTTACAATCATAAAGATAAAAAGAAAAAAATCTCATAATTAACTAAATAAAATTTATCGATATGTATTATACGTAAAAGATAAATAATAAAAATTAAAAAAAAAGAAAGAAAGAAAGAATAAATAAAGTTAACAATTATTACTGCAGACCTCAAAATGTTTATGTATGTTTTATAAGTTTGCTTCTTAAATTTTTAGTCTTTTTATATTTTAAAGTTTCTCGATGAAAATACTTCTCCTAATATCTTAGATACTTTTGCTAGTATCCTTATAACTTGAAATGTTACAAACAGTAATCTTACCGTATACCAAAAATGCGGCTTAGCGCTCGGCTGAAGCACCGATTATTCGGTGACCGTTATTTTAAGATTTCATGCCTGCTTGATTGAAGAGCGTATGTTAGCTAGGCTGTTCCCATTTTTGTTTCATTTGTGACTAAGCTATTACACAACGCACATATTTGTTTACTGCTACGTCAAGCTATTTTAACTAGCAAGGGTGGCCACAATTTTTTTGATGAGGGCCAAAGTTGGCTATTTAGCTGTTAACTAGGGAACAGAGGTTTTTGAAAATATTGATTTTTTTAAGTTATTAAATATAGTCTCACAAAAAAATATCACGCACACATATACTAGCTAACTATTAGGTACAGTGCAATTAAAAGTTTATTAATAATCACAAATTTGCCTTTTTTCACAGTGTTTTTAATGTCAATTGGCAACTGACTGGTTGCTATTCTTAAAGTACTGAGTATCTGTCAATACAAATCTTATTTTAGATTTTTAATTTTTTTATATTTCTGGTACAGTTTTAATTTTGATTTTACTAGTATGTTTCTGCAAATTTTTTTGAAAATCTTATTTTCAATTCAGAAAGTAAAAGTTCTGCTTTTTAAGATTCAACTCACCCAAGGTTAGGACCAACCAAGGTTAGGAAATGACTGAAATTTTCCGGTTCTTAACTGCAGCTCCCGCAAACTTAAATTAAAAAGCTAGAACAAAGTTGTACACTTTTCCAATTAGTTGATCTTTTCCTTGGAGTTCTTCGTTAAGTATATTGTAATGTTGGGTCAGATCAAGAAATGCAAACTTTTCAATGAACTTTTTTATGTAACGTCTTTTGGATAATCTTTTTGTGAAAATTTATTATTTCTAAAATTGCCTACATTGTAAAGCGCTGGACTTATTGTTGTTTATTGTTTTAACTACTTAAGACTTGACAAGCTCCACATCCATAACCTTTGCTGTTCAACATCCATAGCCTCTGCTGTTCGACATCCATAGCCTCTGCTGTTCAACATCCATAGCCTCTGCTGCTCAACATCCATAGCCTTTGCTGTTCAACATCCATAGCCTCTGCTGTTCAACATCCATAGCCTCTGCTGTTAAGTTTTGCTGATGAACAATGCAATGCAGCTTAATTAATGACAAGTTTTTTTTTTGACATTTTGTTTTCCAGTC